TAGATGATAGATAGATAGATAGATAGATAGATAGATAGATAGATAGACAGACAGACAGACAGACAGACAGACAGATAGATATTGACAGATAGATATTGACAGACAGACAGACAGACAGACAGACATAGATAATGCATAGACAGACAGACAGACAGACAGACAGACAGATATTGACAGACAGACAGATATAGTTAGATGAGGCATAGACAGACAGACAGACAGGAGGATAGATTTATTAAAAATTTTAAACTGCCTATCTTGCTATCAAGAGGGCAAACAAGGCGCGATACTTTTTTTTTTAAAAAAAATATTCCTTGCATAGTATTTTTTTTTCAAAGCATTATTCTTCACAATCTGCAAAGCCGAGGACTTGAATTTGGACAGGTAGAAGACTCAGGTAGAGGTCGCCCATCCAGCTGAGCTCAATTCAGTTTATAGATTGGGTTCACACCTGATTCAGACCTATGGTTTTGTAGCACAGTCCAGTCCGTGGACCAAGTCACAAAGGGTTGCAGCTTTCAAATCTCAGATGGCAAAATAAACAGCGGCCAGGCTTTGCATTCCATTTTTAACTCAATTCTTTTTGTTAGGTGGGTTGCCCTGAGTCACTTATTTGAGAGAGGCTGGCTGTATCAAAGAAATTTAAAAAAAACCCACTACCATGATGTAGACATACATGAGAATGTGGCGTTAAGGACGCTAGCCCTGTTTTTACAATTAAAAAATGCCCTATGGAATGAACCTAGCAGCAGATCAGATGGAAAGATAAAATAATCCCACTGTCTGCCTTCACACAATAGACTTGAGTAAAGTAAATTCCTCTGCATTTGATAAGGTATGTCCCAAACAAGTACTGAGGATTATTATGGCATTAAACAGAATCCCAATATTCTAAACTCAGACTTCTGATTCTGTGCCCTCTGGACACAAGAGCAAATATTTATATTAAGTGATGTCTGTCCACCTCTGCATTCCTGTAGATTTAATTCTGAAACGGTCAAATGAAAAAAAACAAACAAACACAACAACATTGCTTTGAAGTTCCACAGAAAGGCTTTGGAAAATTACATCAAACAGAAAATTACATGCACCTTCGGTTGCCCTTACCTGAGCGTAAGCCCAATGGGAATTGATAGCAGTTACTTCTGTGTAAAGATGGTACAACCTGTGTAAAGGTTGGCGATCATGCTGCAAATTCTCCTTATCTGCATGGCTCTCTGTGTTAAGTTTAATTTGAAATCCATCAAAGGAGTCCTAAATGTTTGTGTAGTGGTGTAATTAAAGAGGAAGGGGCCTGAAATCTGGAGCTTAGCAGGCATCTGTTTGATTTTAGAAGTCAAGCCAGATTGGACTGAGTTAGCACTCGAATGGGAGGCCTCTAGAATATTTTAGAATTTTGCTTGTTTGTATCCCATCCTTATTATTTTTAGAAATAACTCAAGGCAGCAAACTTATCAAACACAGCCTCCTCCTATTTTCTCCACAACAACAACCCTGTGAGATGAGGTGGGCTGACAGAGACTGGCCCAAAGTCACCCAGCTGGATTTCATGTCTAAGGCAGGTCTAGAACTCACAGTCTCCTGGTGATTGGTCTAAGACCATCTAGCTGGCTTCATTGCCTAAGGCAGGACTAGAACTCACAGTCTCCTGGTGATTGTCCGAAGACCATCTAGCTGGCTTCATTGCCTAAGGCAGGACTAGAACTCACAGTCTCCTAGTGATTGTCCGAAGACCATCTAGCTGGCTTCATTGCCTAAGGCAGGACTAGAACTCACAGTCTCCTGGTGATTGGTCTAAGACCATCCAGCTGGCTTCGTTGCCTAAGGCAGGACTAGAACTCACCGTCTCCTGGTATCTAGGGTGGGAAATACAGATTCCTAGCAACAGTCCCTGCAAATTATATTGGCGCTGCTGCTGATCCAAGAAAACCACAGAGCCCACCTGAGCCAACGGGAATTCTGCGATAAGGGCTCCAAGAGGCTAGTCCCCTTGCCCGCCCCGCACAAAACCTTTGAAGCGTTTGCTTGCTGCTGATTAAGCAAGGAGGTGCTGAAACACCAGCCCTGCCTCAGGCTAAAGCAAGTTCATCTGAGCTGGCTTGTTTGGCCAGTGAGCCACGGGAGCTCAGCCCATCGCTCCGAATAAACAGAGGCCCTGGGTGGAGCTCAGCCCCACCTGCTTTGCTCACGGGGGCCAGAATCCGGCTGAGAGTAGTAGGTGAGAAGCGGCTTCCTAGGCTGAGCAGGCTCTTTTACAGAGCCACACACCTTGGCAAAAAGCCACACAACAGGTTCGGTGGGCCCACAGGAGCCGAGGTGAGCGATGCACACCCTTCCGATGTTCGTCCCCACCTTGGCACAGGCGGCACGGCTACCTCGGCGGCACAAATAACGTCCAGAATACAGGAAGTCCTCGGCTTACGGCCCCAAATGGCACCGTGGGTAAGCAAGGCGGCTGCGAGTGAGTGTGTCGGTGCCCGGTTGTGATTAAGGAACATTACAGGGAAGCTTGTAGAGGCTGTTTTGAGCTAGTCCAAAGCTTGCTGGACCATTTTATCTTCCAAAGTATCCCCGGAGATGCACGTTAAAAGAATTGTCTCTGTTTCTTCCAGGTAAATTCAATAGTTCTCTTTATCCAGTTAGGTTTCTTGGTCTGGTCTAGAACCTCCTGCCACCCCAAAACTGGGGATTCAGGGGAACAGATCCTTTTTAATAGCAGAAAAGGCAGAGAATCTTCTGGGTCTTTCAAAACTAATTTTTTTTTCGTAGAACATTCTCCATCCACTTCTTCTAGTGCGGGTCTCTTTGGGTTATTTATTCTTTTAAAAGTAGCTTTTGGGTCTCTGGTAGGACTTGTGTTCTTGGAAAGCAAACAAGGAAGAAGGGAATGCTCTCTAGGTCCTTGGCAACTTCCTTTCCCTGCCTACTAGCTTGACTTTCTGGTTAATGTTTGATGTTGTGATAGTACCAGCGTGTACCTTGCTCCAAAGCGCCTTCCTTGGCCGGCTCTCCCAACCGTCAGAGAAAAGAGTCCCAAGGGTTGATTCAACAGGACAGCTGAGCCTGGGAACGACACTGGTGGTCAGCTGAGGGCTGGAGAATCTGCATAACCTCATTGCATCGTCCAATGTTGTGTGTGGTTACCGGGGTTTGCTCAGAGCTTCTGGTTGAGGAACCGCTCAACCAACCAATCAACCTCCCACCCATCAGCTGGAGTTGCTCCTCAGGTCCTTCCACCCTCTGCTTCTCTTTCCCTCCTCCTAGGAGTAGGGAGAGGTGTATTTTTAAGCTCTGGTGTACTTGTAAGCATAAGACCACTGAACTGCTTGCATCGTCTACCACAGGGGGGTGAGTAAGAATACATCCTGCCCCAGAGTGTCTTCTCCCAACAGCTGAACAGGGCATAAATAAAGCTGGTGGATTCATAACATAGATTTGTGTGTCTGGAAAGCTCAAGAGAGTGGGAATTTATCAACCCGTCCTTTGGTTTGAAAAGAACGCTAGAAGCCTGGATCCATCGAATAGGTAACGGAACATCTAAAAACTTGGTTAATTGGCAAAGCGAAGGATAAGGTTGTAAGCAGGGGAGGTGGTGGACATTTCAACTGGCCCAGAAGAAGTCTCTTTTTTAGGCAAGCAACTGCTTTCATCGTTTGAAAATGGTAAGTTTTTTAGGCTCATAATGTCACTTGCATTGAAGCCAAATTAAATGTTGGGAATTAAATTTAAAAAACAACAACGATGGAAATTAAAAAAAAAAAAAGATGGTTAGTAGAGATGCCAAAAGGAATTGTTTTAATCAGAGAAAATCTATCTACTTTTGTTTCGACCTGGAAATCGCTTTGAAATTTGTACTTGAGACACAAAAAAAAATCTTGACTAGGATTTGCTGATTAATATGTTGGTATAGAAATACAAAATATGTAAAAGTGAAAAGTTGAAGCTGTAATTTTATTTTGTACTTTACTGCACTGGAAAAAAAAGTTAGAAGTCAATGCTTTTTTCCCCCTCCTTTATTCTAAACTTTTCTTTCTCTCTTTCTCCTTCCATCTTTATCTTCATTTGTATTGTTTATTATGATAATCTTAATTAAAGAAGAAACTATGAAGAGATTTGAGTAGTGGTGATGTCACCAGGTTAAATAAATAGCCCCTTATTCAGTCATGGGCTGGTCCATCTTTATAGTAATAATTCAGACAGAAGCTGGACTGGGGTGTTTTAATTGTTTCCTGCCTTGAGTTGAGCTCCTTTTATCTTTTAGATTCTAGGATGAATAAATGAATCTTAACCGAAGCATTTCTTAATTACAGATACGCTGTAATTGGCTCTTAACACCTTGATCTGTTCATCATTCTTACGCTGTAGGGAAATGGGCAACTTTTTAATTAAAAAAGTTGCCCTTGCCCCTTTATTAAAAATGTAATTATTTTTAATAGAAGTCTTTAAAATGGGGGCAGGTGACTTAAAATAGTAGTACTGATGCGTCTTTTCAGAAGTAAATTTGCCATCCTTGCAACGAGAAGAAGAAAATTAGGGAGAGGTTTTTCCAAGGGAATATCTTTTTGCAGAGTGTCCTTTTCTTTTCAAAAGACTTCGTTTTAGTCACACAAATCTTTCCAGATTTATAGCACAGTCACTGGATGGGGGGAAATGTTATGATGGTGCAACTTCTTTCTAGATCTGTGCCAAGATTGCAGTGAACGAGTTGCTTTTCTTGCAGAATTGTTATAAAAAGTAATTCTATTCTAATGCTTCCCAAAAGTGAAAGGTAGGGACAGTTGACAGTGGAAAAGGTTAGAAAAATTAGGTTTGGGGAGAATGAATGATACTTTGGGGCTGTTTGGGCTGAAAAAGCAGGTGGCGTGGTAACCCCAAGTCCCTTGTGAAAAGGTTTATTCAGATTTACAGAATGTCTGTATGGGGGGCTGATGTCATTGGCCAGCTAAGACGGGGAGGCAGAATTTCCTACAGCTCAACTAAGCAAAGATTAATAAAAATGGGGCAGTTGGTCTTTATCCTTAGTTGCTTGCCTATCATAAAGTTATGTTTGTAATGAGTGCCTTTCTTGGAAAAGAAAAATGGAGTGTATATGTGTGTCTCAAGGCCTAGAATAGAAGGCGGGAGAAATGTAAGGAATGGGTAGCTAAAGAGGGAAACGTGACAACCTGGGGGGGGCGGTCTCTGAACACGCTCCCTAAAAATACAAGTATATTATTAGTTTGATGCTAGGAGAGAGACGTCCAGAATATCCCGGACAAAACTCCACACCCATTTAGTTCGGGAAGCTTGGACACGTAATTGTTTTGCCTTGCTTGGAGTTTGCAAACAAAGCGTTCCCGGCACTAAGAAGAGAAATGAGAGGGGCAGAGTTGAAAGAATGGCTATAATCAAGTCAAAAAAAACCAAGAAATTGTAGTTTCTATTCTGTCGAAACTCAGAGGAACAGAAGGTTCCCCCCCCTTTTTTTTTAACCCCCAGCAGTTGGGAAATATAACAGCAATTACTAAACTTTTGAGCAATACGTGACTTTCTAATTTAAAACACAGAGTGTACTATTAAGGCTCTGCAAACGCTTTGGAGCCCTTGTCTGTGGCTCTTTAAAGCAGCTGCATCATTGGCAGCTACAGTAGGTTGTGTGTAAAATATTTGCTGTGTTTTGCTCAGAGTCTTCAAGGTAGGTATGTGAAAGCTTTCACCATAGCGAGAAAAACAGGATGCAGCAGTCTGTTCAAATAGGAGCGTTTCAACTAAAGCAAATATAATCAGATGGGCAAAGTATTCTAACAAGATAAAGATATCTTCAAATCTTTGCCAGACACAGTTTTTTTTTATTTTTTATGATGGGATAATTTTAAGCTTCCAGCTGTTACTTCTGCAATCGTGAGGGCTATCTGTTTCTGTAACTCAAAGCCAAGAAATTTGCAATATGAGCAAAGCCATCCAGATTTCCAATTCTCTTTTGCTGGCGAAGTTTGCTGGTTGAATCTCTTTTGGACCAGCCTACTCTAGGTTGGAACTGCCCCATGGAACTCCTTGGAGAAGGAAGAGGACACTAGCAGGTGGGGTCAAAATAGATGAAAAAGAGGATGTAGGAAATGAGCAGGATGGGCCCAAGGGCGGGGTAAAACACATCATCAGTTTGGAGTTATTGAGCAGCCATCAAGAACTCAACTCCTGTTCCTGATCTCTTGAGCCTGACAGAAGAATGTACAAGGAGGTGATGAATAATCTGGCTTCTCTTCAGCAATTCACCTTGATCTTTCCTCCCAATCAGGGCAGTTTTCCTCACGTGGTGCTCCTCCCTAATACATTCACCTTTGCTCCCTCTCCCTCTCCAGCAGATGAATACGACAATACACGCCAACTGGTCTTCTCCAGCCCCAGAAACGCTCCTGACCTCCAGCATGGTTGCTACCTTGGCCCATTTCTTCTCGCCACCGATGGTCTCCAGCCATTTAATTGTGGAGGATGGTTCCCAACTAAGGGCTGACCAGAATCACTCCCAGGAGATCCAAACCCTCTTTTTGACCACGTCCACAGCAAAAGCCATCTCAGGACTCTTTGTCTGGACGGCCCTGATCCTTACTTTCCACCAGGTGGGTGGTAGCGCTGCCCAGCCCTGTTGGGACTCCATCTTTCCAGGTGGCTGTGTAAGATGGGAAGAGGGGGAAGTCCACACCTTCAAGGCACCAATTTGGGGAAATATTATCAAAAGCCATGGCTGTTTGATCAGGTTAGGTGGAATCTTGCTTCTCTATGCCATCAGACCAGGCTATATCGGTGTAGAACTTCTCTGTAGCTTGTAGTGGCCAGGCAAGACTTGAACGGTGGTATTGTTTCTATCTTAAGAGGCTTAATTTAGTTTTGCTTAGAAAGAGAAGGGAAAAGTGTTTTCAATTTGGAAAGAGAGATCCCGTTTTGATGGTTTTGTGGCTTTTCATGTAGTCTTTTTCCTGGGGAAGGGAGAGGACATCATATTCCACAGGGTTTTTGACTCACCAAGGCAGCTTGGCCTTCCGAGTTTAGTAGGGATTTCTCTGGAGATGGTCTTCATAGGCCTGCCAGTAATAGCCTAGGGCATTCTATTGCTTTTCAGTTCTGATATTTTATAGAAAAATGATGGAAGTTGTGTCCATCACCCCCCTGGCAAGATCTAACCTTCTTATCGTTGCTGGCTGCTTGTTCACTTGTGGTTTCCCCTTTAGAAGAAGGAAGTCATAGAACTAGTATTGCACCACCGACGGTGCTGGTTGAAGCATCTTTGGAAGGCCAGATTTCCCCTGGCTGCTTTGGGAGACCTGAAGCTTCACCTAATGCCAGGTTGTGTCTATGGAGATTCGTAGTCATCCAGGTCATGGTTGTGCCAAAGGTGCTTTTTCAAGAGGCAACTGGACTTTCCGGTTTTCCTTTGAAGACGTTTCGCTTCTCATCCAAGCAGCTCCTTCTGCTCTGCTTCAGCTCATGCATTGGATGGCTGAGAATCTCTACAGATGTTTAGCTGTCCAATTTGGGATGAAAACCCTTCGAACGAAGTGGGAGCATGGACGGATTTCCAGAGGAAATATGACTGCAGACTACAAGAACCATTTGCACTACTCAGGTGATCCTGAGGATACAGATAAACCTCCAAGTGGCCTCAACAGCCCTCTAAAAGGATGCAAATGACCAGCTGTCTGTAAGGAATATAAATCCTTCCGTTTCCCACCATCCAGTCAGAGCTGAAGAAGCTTCTTGGATGAGAAGCGAAACGTCTTCAAAGAATATCAGAAAGCCCAGTTGCCTCTTGAAAAAGCACCTTTGGGATTAATGCCAGGATGAAGGCCACGCAAGCAAATATGTGTGATATTTGTGTCCCCTTGCTCCCAAAACTCTTTTTGGTTGGTCTTAAGATGGTCTAGCTACAGCACATTGATCCTTACTGGCTGTGTTTTTCTCCCTGGAAACGCTGCATCTGATCCTGTGTTGTGTGTCTTCCCTTCTTCCTCTTCTCTCAGATCTACCTGCACCTGAAAAACTACACCATTCCCAACGAGCAGCGTTACATCATCCGGATTCTCTTTATCATCCCCATTTATGCCTTCGACTCCTGGCTCAGCCTCCTGCTAATCGGCAGCCATCAGTACTATGTTTACTTTGACTCAGTGCGGGACTGCTACGAAGGTGAGCTGGGATTCACGGCTATCCCTGGAGCACTTAGTATATCCCAGATACGCGGGCGTGGAGGCAGGCAATCGGCCATAAACTGAGCCGAAGGGTCCAAGTTCAAAGGCAACATTCTATGCAATCCTTCCTCCAGAGTGTGGCCAGGAAGGACAGCCTATTTGTAGGGACATGCATGGAGGAAAGGCCGCCATATTTAAAATCTGGTGAATTGGTCACAATTTCTGCCATCTGATTGAGCTCTGTGTATGTTTGACAGCCAGTTTGGTGTGGGGGTTAAGGAGCTAGTCTGGAAACCAGGAGGCCGTGAGTTCTAGTCCCACCTTAGACATGAAAGCCAGCTGGGTGACTTTGGGCCAGTCCCTCTCTCAGCTGAGCCCATCTTACAGAGTTGTTATGGGGAAAAGAGGAAGGAGGATTATACTGTATGTTTTGCTGTCTTGAGTTACTTATCAAGTAATAAAGGTGGGATGAACATCTACCAAATAATCTCTCCCCTCCCCCCCTTTTTTGCAGCATTTGTGATTTACAGCTTCCTGAGCCTCTGCTTTGAATATCTTGGAGGAGAAAGTACCATCATGGCGGAAATCCGAGGAAAGCCCATTGTGTAAGTTGACCATCACTGAGGTGTATCTATCTCTTGCTTACAATTGGGAGTATTTCACACTCCACATATAGTCTTAAGGTCCCACGCTTGGGCTGATTTATGACTCCGGTTTTTCTTAGTTCTAGTTGTCTCTACGGAACTTGCTGTCTCCGAGGGATATCTTACTCCATTGGGTTCCTTCGGTTCTGCAAACAGGTGAGGAGCATCTCATAGAATAGAGCTACAGCTGATCAGTTCTCCATCATCCATGGTACTTCCAGGGAAGCCATTATCTTTATTCCCCCTCAAAACTTGTTTCAGTTTCAGTTCATTTTTCCCAGGCAAAATCTTGCAGGTTCCCGTTGTCTGTACTGTGAAATATTTCCGTTTCTCCTGCCTTTATAGGCATAGATGGAAATTGGAGACAGTCGTTGCCAAAAAGACACTCAAGACTGTGGAAATGAGATCTTAGCAGGGAGAATCTGGTTGCTTTCCTGGTTGCTGGACACCCAACCAGCTTTCATCACTCCTAGCGACAGCCATGGGTGATGGGGGCATTGGTGGAAGCCGTGGTAGATTGGAGCGTTTGTGGGGGAAACTCAGATTGTCCATCCTAGATTGGACCCAAAATGTGAGGTCCGGATGATGGGATTAGGTGACAACAGAGGCACAGAAGCTGGGTGGTTTCAACGGAGCCGTTTCTTCGCTTCCTTCTAGGCCACCCTGCAGTTCTGCATCATCAAGCCGGTCATGGCCATCCTCACCATCATTCTCCAAGCATTTGGGAAGTACCACGATGGTGATTTCAAGTGAGAATGAAGGGGGCGGGGAGGAAGAGGGGTAAACTGTGATGGGCTTGGAAAGGGAATGGTCCCTAACAAGGAATTCTGCCTGTTTGAATGTTCTGCTTCCCAGCATCCACAGTGGATATCTCTACATCACCATCATCAACAACTTCTCGGTCAGCCTGGCCCTCTACGCCCTCTTCCTCTTCTACTTCGCCACCATGGACTTCCTGAGGCCTTTTGAGCCAGTCCTGAAGTTTCTTACCATCAAGGCGGTCATCTTCCTCTCCTTTTGGCAAGGCGAGTCACTCTACTTCCTGTCTTGGGTGGGGAGGGCCTGAAATAGGAAACTTCAGTTCTCTATTAATCCATTCACCCTCCTGGACCAACTCCAGTGTTTCTCAACCTTAGCCATGTTCAGAGGGGTGGACTTCAACTCCCAGAATCCCCCAGCAATTCTGGGAGTTGAAGTCCACCCATTCTTAACATGGCTAAGGTTGAGAAACACCGCTCTTGTCAATATAACGTGTTTTGGCTATCATTTCATAGGGAGAGAGAGAAGATGCTCCTCCCATGGTTGAAGGGAAAAAGAAAAGTTGAACAAATTTAACTCCCTCTAGTTGGTATTTCAATTGAGAGTTAATTCATTTGTAGCAATGCAAATGATCTAGATGAGCTCCAAATTTTGGAAGACCCAGACATGCAGGACAGAAAGCCTTGAGAAGTCTCTATCCCTTGGAAAATAAATATTAAATGAAGTATGAGCTTGCAAAAAATGTTGGCTTGTTCTAATAGGACTCATATATATATATATATAAAACCCAAGTCTCGATGGGATCTTGTAATTCGGAGGAATTCGGGTATGGGACAATTACGTAGGTTCCTTCAGACGTTTCCTGGACCTGTGAAAAATCTACTTGAGAGCCTTTGCTGATGTTTTTGCAACCATTCCTATTTTGCAGGGGTGCTCCTGGCCATCTTGGAGAAATGTGGGGTCATCCCAGAAGTTCAGATCATTGACGGGAAGGCAGTGGGAGCTGGCACCGTTGCAGCCGGCTACCAGAACTTCATCATCTGTATCGAGATGCTGTTTGCTTCCATCGCTCTCCGTTACGCTTTCACCTGCCAGGTGTACCAGGAGAAAAAGGAAAGCACCACAGGTAACTTGCTTCAAGAGAACTGCTCCTTTAGTTATACGGAAGGTAGGCAGGGAAAGGAAGGGACGACCAAGCAGAAAGGTAAGCTGGTGTCTTCTTTTCCTAGGGCCAATAAGCAAGAATTCTGTGTTTATCTCCCTTCTGTTTCTCAGACTTGATTAAAAAAAACATTTCCTCCCAGTTTCTTCTCAAATAGAAGATAAAGCAGGTAAACGAACAAAGTTGGGAGTATGTTCTAACTTATTTGGGGGGGGGAACAGCCAAAGGATGGAGGTGGGAATGGCCTGCTTCCATCATTAGATGCTCTCCCCAACGGCCAAGGGCCTCCTTAGCTTCCTACAGAACCGTTAAAGTGGGTAGTTCTCTTTTGAGGCTCGTTCCGTTCTGGAAGATGTAATTAGGGATATTTCAGCACGATGAGAAATAGTAGCCATGGACCCTAGGCCACCTCTCCAGCTGAGTTCAGCTCCAAACAAGAGAAATGTGAAATTTTCAAGTCATTGGAAGATGTGGTAGAAAAGACACTTCAGCAGGAGAAACCAACCTGCTGAAAATCCTCAAGGCAAATTTATTTTTATCTTCCCTGGTGCCTTCAGCCAATATTGGGTTCCACCTTCCCGGCAGGCTGGTTTGTGCAGGTGAACTGACTTCTTAGGGGCCTGCTTGAAAAAAAAAAGCATCTGCTCGTCCATTGATTCTCTTCTGGTCTCTTCCCTTTTTCTTCTAGCAGGCGTGGCCCCGTTGCAAAGCATCTCCAGCGGGCTGAAGGAAACGATGAGTCCTCAAGATATTGTCCAAGATGCCATCCACAATTTCTCCCCGACCTACCAACAATACACGCAGCAATCCATGCAGGAGACGGAAGGGGGGCTTGGACAGAACGGCCACGTGAGTCCTCCGGTGGAGGCCTCGCAGAGCAAGAAGAGGAGGAATCTTGAGAAACGGATGCTCATCGTCTCCGACGAGGAGTTGTGAAGAGGCCGCTTGTGAAGTGGAGAACTTGTTGTTTTCCAGGTCTTCTCACCTTGCTGCAGACCGGCAGCTGCCAACCGAATCAGACCACATTGTTGAACGAAGCAACAGAAGCGTCTCATTCTTGTTCTCAGTGGGCTATTGAGGGAAGATCCCCAGATATTGGGTTGACTTCCTAAATACAGCTGGATCTACCCCTTCCTATGTGGTGTTGTGGTGAGTGGCAGAAACACCCAGGATGCACTTATTGTTGGTCCTGGTGCAGCCTGAGGAAAACAGAATTTCTCAATGGACACAGGTCCTCCCATTCCCAATGCCTGGCGATAATACTGATTATTGGCAGAGACGGAACAAGGCAACGTAGGAAGGGATAAAATTGGATGGAATCGACAACATTTTCATTCAGCAGTTGCAGCTGAATCCCATTGGAACTAGATTCCCATTATCATTCTTTTTTGGTTTGTTTGTTTGTGGATCCAATCCACCGGGATGGGAATACAATAATAGCTCAGAGCCCCAGAGAAATAAAAGGACGTTTCTTCTTTCCAACACGAGGAGCTGCAGCAGGGTGAGGAATTAATAGCGCCAGATTCCTTGATGAAGTTGCATTGAGGCCGTCAAAGCTTCTGATCATAGAATGCACCTTGGATGTCAGAGGAGTTGTGGCTTCATCGTGGAAGAAGAGGTGTTGCGTTACGTTGAAAGTGTGAATGTGTTGATATAAGGCGCTTCTTCCTATCTGGAGGGTCCTGTGTGTGATGGTTATGAATTGCGTGTCAATCTGTACATTTCAAAAAAAATAATAATTATAAAAATATTTGTAATACTTTTTCCCAGTGCTGTCTAACGCCGACAAATTTACTTTGTGAGTATTCCAAGAGTTTTGGCTGGATTGAATCTGGGATGGCCCATGGTTAATTATTGGTGCTATAGTTCACAATTGAAAACAAAAAAAAAAAATCACATGGTTGATGTAATAAAGTAGAGGATTTTAATGGCTGTCAAATGCAAAATAGCAATGAAAAACTTTGGTCTAGGCTGCAGTTGGCATGCAGCTCTTCTTATTTGTAATTCAGCATTCCTGATGTAAGGTATGTCATGTTTCTCTTGTCTTTTGTAATCTTAAGATTTGTTTTGCACAACCCAGAATTTGTGGCTGCCTTTCATCTTCTGACAGACAGCAAAATTCTCAGCATCCGCATCAATCCCTGTTTTTTCCTTCCCTTCTGCAAATGGTTGCCTTGATGTTGACCAGAGTTTGATAATCACCCCATGATACCCTTTTTATTGGCACACAGTAATGTGACACTTATTGCTACCTGCAAAATTATATTAAATTGCTCCCTCTGTGTCACTCTCCTCCAGAGAGGGTTATAAGCTGCAGATTACTACTAGATCTGGGCAACCTTAAGAAGGTGTGGACTTCAACTCCCAGCATTCCCCTGCTACCATGAGGTCCACCCATCATAAAGCATGCTGGCAGGGGAATGCTGGGAATTGGGAGTCCAGTCCTCTTAAAATCTGCCAAGTTAGAAAAAAGAACCACTGTACTAGATCAGGGTCTCCAAACTCCAACTTTGTGGGCTATCTTTCTGGAATTCTGGGAGCTTTTAAGCCCACAAGTCTTAAAAGTTGCCAAGTTTGGAAAGCCCTGTACTAGATAGAGCTTTGAAATATAATAATAATAATAATAATAATAATAATAATAATAATAATAATAATAATAATTAATACTTATATGCCACCTGGCTATCAAAGACTCTGATGACAGACAAGATCCAATCTGAAACCAGAAGATGCTTTATTGGAAAGGTTACCAAAAAGCCACAACGGTTGCAGCTTCAAATTTACAGCAATAAATTAACATGGTGGGGGAAGAGGGTGTCAAATGAAAATAGACTGGACACACACACACACACACGCACGCACACAGACAGACGGACATCATAGGCCTCATGGGACAGGCACCCACATTACTTGATATGTCAATAATTTATTTCATAATAAAAAAGCAACACAAAAATAAATACCGAAACAAAAAGTAAGTTTGCGGAAACCACAGAGTAGAACAGTCTCGTGATTAAAGCTTCTGGATCTGAGCTGCAAAAATCCAGACAAGGGGGGGGGAAAGAGATAAATAAAATTCTTTGCTGCCATCCGAGGTGTGTTTTTTTGTGTGTGTGCAGCCCTGATCTGGAGCCATACATGTGATTTAAAAAGAAAAAGTATAATTTTATAATGCGAGGAGCAACAACAAAAAAACATGCTAAATTTCCAAACCCAAATTTCCAAATAGTAACGAAAGGAAAAAAAGAGGGGGGGGGAGGGGTGGTAGGGGAAAGAAATTCCATCTTACAAGAAAACCTCTTTTCTTTAAAAAAAATTAAATTCCTCTGGTTTTTATATAGGCGAGTGCTTTGGTTTTTACATACACCATTAAGATGCAATCCCTTATTTGATTGGGCAGAGGTGCTGCCCAATTCCAAATCAACTCTGGGCAGCTTATAACTTAAAACAAAAAACAAAATGGAAAAAAAGCAGGAAAGGATTCCCTCCATTAGGGACAATCATCTCTTGTGTGCTGTGCATTTTTGGTATCCAAACGCATCCTAACATGTAAGCTAAGTAAATCAGTTTTCAATTATCCAAGGATGATCACATGTCTTGTGAGATAAAAGGCTGAACCAACCCAAGAATTTGCAGTTGTATCATCCATGGGAGAGAGAGTTAAAAAATAATAATAATCTCTACTTATTAAAAAAAACAAACCTAGCATCTAACAGAAGTGCCAAGCATGGTTTGCATCTAATATGCTAATTTATGGTACGCCAGAAAGCTTTTCTTTATCCCCACATTAGCATCGCTTAGTGTTTTTCAAATTTGGCAGCTTTTAAGATGGGTGGACTTCAACTCCCAGAATTCCCCAGCATGGCATGGTTGAAATGGGGAATTCTGGGAGTTAAAGTCCCCGTCCCCCTAATCTTAAAGTGGCCAACTTTGAAAAATGCTCATTTGAAGCCACAGTACTCTGGTCTTCCCAGTAGGTAATGGGATTCCCCCCCCCCCAAAAAAAAAACCCGAAAAACTTCTGAGATTTAAGAAGCAGGAAAGGGAGAAGTGGCAGCTGAATGAAAATGGCTTTTTAAAAATAATAATAATGTGCATTTCTTACAGGCAGCAGTGGTTTTGCACACAACGCAAGGCTGTGTTTCTTCCCAAACCTTTGTGGCGGGAAGAGTCCCTAAAGACAGGAAAGAAAGAAAGTAAGAAAAGAGGAGGGTGAAAAAAAGGGGGGATTATCTTGGGGTGATGGATGGATGGGATGCTCTGCTCCCTTTTCAGTCCTTCCAGCCTTCTGGAAGGGGAATTGTGGAGAGAAAAACACTTCCAGGCTCCAAGCATCCATCAACGCAAGGATCTCCAACCTTGGCCGCTTTATGCCTGGTGGACTTCAACTCCCAGAATTCCCCAGCCAGTCATGGGCTGGGGAATTCTGGGAGTTGAAGTCCACCAGTCCTAAAAGTGGCCAAGGTTGGAGATCCGAGCATAGAAAGCGGGCACCAATTCTTAGGTCCCTCCTGGTTTTTTTTTGGAAAACTGGTATATAGATTTAAATATGAACAATATTACACGTATCTCGTACAAAAAGAACCTGTATGGTAAAATGTATATAATTATTTTATATATGTGTGTATAAATCATATATATATATACAGACACGCTCACACACACATATATCTGTATCTATATGCATATGTCTCTCAAATATTTCCAAGTGGCCCTTAAATTGATATCCAATATGGATTACCTACCATGACTATGGTATCAACAGCTTTTAATTCTGATTTAAGCCTTTTGATGCCTGATTGCAAGGGAAATGGACACCAACCCAAGAAGCGGGGAGGAGATGCTTGTACCCCACAGAAGCTTCTCTCTGTTCTCCAAAAAAGCAGTAAAGATGGCTGCATTTGGAGGTCAAGAGGACTTCTTCCTTTAGAGGTGTTTTCCCCTACCAGAGGGTTAGTCCAACTAGCACCTCATCTTGTACAACAGCCTCGTTGTCGGATCAGCCATTGGCTTCCCCTTCCAATGCGCCACCCACATGTGACAGGGGTGGCCGAGGAGTTCATAGCTGCTAGGATGAAAGTACACAGAGGTTGGTCAATGGACAAGGTGAGAGGCCCTAACCACAGCAGGAAAAAACAAACCCTGGTGGAACTCTCTAGGGATAAGCCCAATGCGTAGCTTTTACCAAGTCAAGGCCACCACAATGGTGTTAACTATGGTTGGGCCTCCCTTGGATGCACTCAAGAATTTCGGTGGGTTTACAGTTGCCAGAGCATCTCCCTTCAACTTCTGCCTAGGTCCATAATTGCTTGTCCATCTCCTAAAACTAGGGAAGACTTCTCAGTCACAAGGAAGCATCGCACAAATACGGAGGACCCCTTCTGGAGTTGACCAAGGGCGCCCCATCCAACACCAGAGAGAAGGGGAACAAGGGGAGGCCAAAGCTAGAGTCAAGAGCTGCAGGGCAATCAACACTCGGCCAATCGAGAAAGAACACCATTAGAATTTAGGACGGATGGCGCAGTTTCCTTCATCAATAGTCCATGTCTTCCTCAGATGTAGCAGCTTTCAACCAGGAGCTAGGAACATCATGGCCTTTGTTGACTAAGAGCCCAGGAGAGCTGTAGTGGGATGTATTTGGGGGACACCAGGTTGGGGAAGGCACCTCTAAACATTTGTTCCATCTTGGTGGAGCCCAGTTAACTCGTCCCCCGTTTTCCAGGGCTCAGCTTTCAGCTGGCCCTGGAGGGGAGAGGAGAGGATCCAACATTTCCAAGTTTCTTATGCCCACTCGGGCCACTGGCATTTATTTTCTGAAACTCAGACAGTGCAATCTAACTCCTTCCTCTGCTTTGAAGGATTCAGGAAGCTTGCAGAGGACTCAGGGTGTCCCAAAGCACATTTTCAGAGAAAAATAACATAAAGCAACTCAACTCCTTTTCTTCCTCAAACTTTTTGTGAGGGAGTCCAAAGCAGCAAGGATAAACACCAGGTGTTAACTGGTCTTCAAGAGGGTTAGGGGAGGCTGGAGGGAGACCCCCCACTTGTGAGTTCATCTGAAGCCAACGAAGTGGACACATAGCCATTAGCTTTGCTCGTTCTTCCTGATCTGGGCAGTCAAAATTAGCCCCCTCCTCACCACTAAACTACTGAATGGCACAGAAGAGCATTAAGTGCCAACAAGTCTACATATGCTGAAGGTGTGGTACAAGATCTGTGCTGTCCATGCACCCAACTACCACTAGTGCTACATTCACAGTGTTAGTAACTCCACCCAGGATTCACCTACACAGAGGTTAAGGGCTAACTCTTAACTCTTCCTTATTTGCTTTCAATTATGAATGCACCCACAGAAGAGAGGTCACAATCTACCGGTATTAGCTGCAGCGGAACGTTAAGTGGGAGTTTTGAGACAGCCCAAGAAAACACCACAGGAACTAGGATTTGGGGAAGCCAGGTCTTCAGTTCAAATCCAACCCCAACAGAGGGGACGTGTTTGACAAGACGGGGGATGCAAACATGTAAGACGCCTGGGGCAACTGGAATCAGTCCTAGATCGCCACATGTGGGCGAGGCACAACATTTGGACGATGCCACCATGTAAATGTTGCCCCAGATTCCAACAGAAAATTGGAATTTTCTCTCTGCTGAGTTGGCTTCAGCCGAGCAGGAGGCAGCAATTTTATTACTGACCCATCTGAAGAGACCTTTACCTGAGGCTTCGGTTCTCCCATTGGAAGTTTCAGAGCTCTTTACTCTAGAAACCTTACAAAAACGGCACAAAAGGACTTTGGAAGGGCAGCTTACTCGCCTCGCAGCTCCCAGTTCCAAGCCTTCTTTCCCTGCTCTTCATCATCCCTCACCAACAACCCAACTCTAACCATCGCTCATCCCTCTGCCTCCTCTGTAAATCCACAAACTGCTTTCTCTCTGCTCTGCTCTCTATACCATCTTCTTAGTCCGAGCAAACTCCATCCACGCACTCGCCTCATTCTCTGCACACATACAAACAGCAGCCTATATCCTTCCTTCTCGCCCTGTTGGCGAGCTCCGATTTTCTCCCTGCTTCTCAGAACCACAAGACCCAATTTAATTTGCCTCCAAAAAAAAACCCCCCAAAGGTACCAACTTCTAAATCTTCCTGGGTTCCTCTGCGCAATTTGTTATCTTCGAAGCTTGCTGAGCATTATCTCAAGGAGCCCGATTCCCTGTAGCTGTTTAGATCTAATTCTTCCTGCTTTTTACTTCACGTTCACTTTTGACGTCTCTTGATGTTCAAGAGCCCCAAAACAAGAGGAAATATTATGGGTAAGGCTGTGGGTTGAATTCACATTTCTTTTTGAATCTTCCTTGTCCAAAAAGATCCCCCCCGCTTTTTTCCCCAGCGTGTCTTGGACTTATAAACCTTTCAATGTTTCTAAGTCATGCTGATTCAAAGGCATCAATTTGACCGCACTATCCTTTTCCATGAGTTCCTCTTCTGGTAAATTATCTTTTTTTTCTCACACAACCTAGCCACCAAGTCTAGCCCCACATTGCCTGCTCACCGTACATTTCCCATCCCGCCCCCCCTCACCCTACGACACTGTAGAACCTGGATGATGACACTGACCAAAATGTATTGTTTGGAAGCCACACAACCACATCAAAAAAAGGAGGCCCAATTCACAGGCACATCATGGGAAGCAGCTTCAGTGACGTTTTTGCATTGTAGACGCTGTTCCATCTTACTGGACTCCTGACCAAAAGGACCTCCGGCAGGGACGGAACAGCAGCAGGGCCCAGACGATGAGCTGAAGATCCGCTCACCCTTCACCGTCTGGGTTTGGAGAGAAAACACCTCGGGCTGTGAAAATTGGGGTGCAGGAACTGTCCCAAAACCTCGATCCCCCCCACAACCTATAAAGACAGCTACGACGGGGCTGCTTTTTCTTTTCTTTCCTAACTAGAGGAAGGGGGGTTGTTTCTTTTCCCCGTGGCCTGACGATTCTACCATGTTATCCGTTTGAAATTTTCACCGAGCGCCCGTTCCTTCGATACCTCATGTCGACTCGGGCTTAAGCGAAGACCAGCAAGGAAGAGCTGTGCGAGGCGCCTCCGTCGGATTCCTGCAGGGCTAGATGTGGAATTTCAATTTCAGCCCCCGAAGGGCTTACTGAGCCAGAGGTAAAGCCGCCAGTTCAACTTTCCCCGTCAGAGAGCCTGCCGCTACGTGGCTGGCCAGCTCCCTTTCTGGGGGGGGAAGGCGGACGTCTGACTCGAGGGAAGAAGAAGCGGGCTCTGCCGAGTCCCCTCTTCCAGCCAGGCAGCGAGTTCTCTCTCCTTGGACATTAGGACGCTGCTGAAAACGGCACGGAGCTGGAGGAGATTTCGGCGGACTTGACGATGGTGATGACGCTGGTGGTGGCCACTTTGGTGGGGGTGATGGGGCCGCGGGCCACGGTGCGCGCGAAGGTCTGCAGGGCTTCGTACTTGGAGCGCAAGGCATCCAGCTCCAATTTCATGCTGCTGTTCTCCCGAGCCAGCTTCTCCACTTCCTGCTGCAGCTCCACCCGCTGCCTCTCCAGTTCCTCCTTCTGCGTCACCCGCTTGATCCGGCAGCTGGCCGCGTAGCCCCGGTTCTTGAGCGTCCGCCGCCGTTGCTTCAAGCGAATCACCTCCTCTTTGGTGAGACCTCGCAGGTGCTGGTTCAACTCCCGCACAGACATCGACACGAGTTCATCATCGCTCAGCACCGGGGCGTTTTCTCCCGACTCCTCCTTGACCTAAAGGGCAACAACAGGACAAAACTTGTGATGATGTCATGCCAGGTCAAGGGTGTCCAACCTTGGCCGCTCCTGCACTACCAGAACACGGTTGCAACGTGGTGAACACCAGATCATCAATTAGGAAGTATTTTGTGTGGGCAGCTCCAAAAAATCTCCAAAAATTCCCAAGAATTCATCGGTCAAGACCAGCCAGTAGGTATCAACCCTAAAGCTGACCTGCCACACTGGAGTAGAGATAGCTGGGGGTTTGTAGCCAAAATAAAATACTTTCCTTTGGGAACCAAGGACGTTGTCACACCTAGCCAGAATGAGTAGGAGCGAGGTTACCAAGCGACCAGACGGCACTCTGATTGGACCACGTGACTGTTCGGGGAAGGGGGAAAATTTTTACTTTTAATTAGGCAAGAACCGCGGGAACCTTCAATCGGTTTTCACCAGATCTGTGCCAACATGACATATCAAATAAAACTATTCTCTGAGGAATCTACCTGCCTTGGGGTTTTATTCCCCATGGGTGTATCACTTGGAACCCTGACAGTAGGAATGAATTCGGCTATTTTTAGAATTTTGAGTGAGAATCCAAAGGAAACAAACGCGAACTTACATTTTTTATGTCCATGAGATGCAGTGACTGTCTTTGACTCAAACTATTTTGTGCCTGCAATTTCCCTCTTTGCTCGACGTTACCGTTATTGTGATTTTGAAGAAGTTAATGCTATTCTGTAACCGACTTGCTTCTGTAATTAGCACCAGTAGCCAACTGCCAACTCTCTGACAGACCAGACAGGAAACATGACCCCATCAGCTAATTTTGTTTTATTGGAAGGCTACGTTAACAGAATCTTGAAAGTATAAAAGTACGAATCTCCCGCCATCTCTTTTTCAGCCAGAAAAGTTAGGGAGATTCTTTTGTGAGTCTCTTTCTCTGGCCATTACACAGCTTTGCGCTCTCTTATCCAATCATTTCATAGGTAGCATCTCTTTCTCCCCTCCTGGATCCCCAAGATAATCCCCACATAACGTTATAGTACCCCAACTCTCTGATGAGGAATCCGTATTTAAAATATTTGGCATAACCTTAATGCTTTAAAACATTGGAATGTGACACTATGTGACCAATCAGTGGCCAAGCTTTTTTTTTAAAAAAAAGACTGCTGTACTATGTGAGCAGCCAGAAAGCAATTTTATAGTGGCTTAAATCTTATTTTCCTACCTGGAAGTAAAACTTGGGAGACACCATTTATTCGACAGCTGTGTTCAACATAGGTTGAACCATGAATTTTACTAAAGTTCAGGTGAGTATATTGTTCATTATTTGAAACCAAAGTTAGAATTATCTTGTGTTTTTTTTTAAATAAAAGTTTCTGATGAAGTTGTCGTCTTCAAGAAAGGCACCCTCATATTTTACTTTTGGGGCACAGACTGACTTTTGGAAAAGGGGTAGAAAAGGGCAGCGGGGACCCAAAAGTTGACATCTTGAACAGTTCACTGAAGATGCCACTTAAAAAAAAAATCCAACTGAGCCTTACCTTAAATGCTTTGTTTGGCTTTGGATTAGTCGTCATAACCTGGACACAGTCACCTGGACAGAATTGTTCAGAAATTGCAACTGGAGAAAAAGAGGGAAGAGAAAGAGAGAGAAAACAGGCTAAGAGAAAAGAACAATGCATTTTCCTTGAAACACAAGACAGGCAGCTGTCCTGGCAGGGCTATTTCACACAATGTTTCTTAGAGGTTGCTTTTTTGAAATCTCCCTTCTAAATTTTACTTCCCCAGCCACTCAATCCACCCTCAACGTCTCAGGATCCCCGGACTTCCATAGGAACACTCTCATCTATTAGTACTACTGGTAGTCCTCAACTTACAACCACCATGCAGCCCCAAATTCAGGTTGCTACGTGAGTTGTGCCCAATTTCATGACTTTTCTTGCCACCGTCGTTTGTCACCCGGTTGTTAAGTGAATCTGGCTTCCACGTCAACTTTGTCAGAAGGGCGCGAAAGCGGACCATGTGACCCTCCAAGGACACTGCGACCGTCATAAATATGAGACATTTGCCAAGCGTCTGAATTTTGACCACATGACCAAGAGAACGCTGCAACAGTCGTATGTGTGAAAAACACTCATAAGTCACTTTTTTCCAGTGATGATGTGACTTTGAGAGGTCACTAAATGAAGTCAAGTATTACAAGATACAAACAAGCAAGAGACTTCATCAACCAACTCATAAGAATGACTGGCCTTTCTTTCTTTCTTTCTTTCCTTCCTTCCTTCCTTCCCTTCTTCCCTCCCTCCCTCCTTCCTTGTCTTTCTTCCTTTCTTCCTTTCTTTCAAGCAGCTGCTAGAATAGCGTCTTCCTTATCTCCAATTTGGAATGCCGTCATGAAAAAGAGAAAAGAGGGACAATGGGCAGGAGGAGTGGAATGAGATTCCTGCGAGCTTTGCCCATATCCTCCGGGGTTATAGCGATCCTGTAGCTCTCCTGACTTTCACACCGCAAGCCAGGCTAGACTTTCCACACTGTTAAACCCAGAGTCCTCAGATGACTTCCCAGCGTAACAGCACATCTTTAACCACCAGCCATCCAGAAAGGCTGTTTCCTCATCCTGGCTTTGAAAACAGATGGCCGTTTGAATCTTGATCCCTTGCCAGACCCGAGTTTTCAGAGATGGAATTTCTGGATCCAGAAGAATTCAGCTCATCCAGAGATTCGGTTTGCTCGGAACGGCCCCCAAAACCAATTCCAAACCACCCCATTTTTTTCCCCCCCCCCAACCCCTATAAAGCTAGCTCCAAGTTCGCTTTCTGTGCTTTCTCTCCAAAGCGGGAGAATGCCCGTCTCCAATAATCCAACCCCGACTTCACCCTCATCCCAGGCCCCAGTCAAAACAAAACGGAAAAACAAAACCATCCACCAAGTGATCGTTCTCTTCCTGGCTCTTCAGAGACAGAAAAGTCGCCTACCTCTCCCAGCCCCACCTGTTAAGCGACCTGTTCTTCTTCGCAAGGCAGCACGAATCGACAGATGAGAAGACAAGGATGGAGCACGGGGGGGGGGGGGGGGGGCGGCGGGGGCAGAGAAAACAAGGCCCCGCTTTCCTTACTGGGCTGGCATCGTCTCAGCCCACTGGCTTTAAGAGGAGGGAGCCCCTCTGGTCTTCCAGCCCGGGGAGAATTTGACCAAGCGGCAATGCCCCTCCACGCTCTCCGGCTGCCCTTCACTCTCACCTCAGGTACTCTCAACTCCTTCCGAGACGGACTGTCTAGACTTCGGCGGCGCAGAGCCTTCACCTGCATCGCACAGCCCAGAGGAGGAGGAGGAGGAAGGGAAGGATGACACCCTTGGAGCGGTTTGAGAGAGCCGTCTACCTACCACCGATGGAGAGGGCAATGCAGCTGTGACATCACAGGGGCTTCCTTCTCCCCGCCAAGCTTAGGCCACACCAGCCAGGCTCAAACGTGAGAAGCTGCCGTGCCTAGGAAGCACAGGCTTGGGGTGGGCTGCAACGGTGCCAGACATGGGGAGACCCTCGGACCAGGCCGCCACCCACCCGTCCAAGAAGCAAACAAGGGCTGGGCTGGTGGCGACGGCAACCCTGATTCTCCATGCACGTCTACAGAATGTCACACATTCTAATCATTTCAAAAAAATAAAAAATAAAAAAAGAAGAGGAGAAGACGACGGCATCTAGCCAAAGCATCCCAAGCATGATTTCCTTCCGATAGTTGCTATGGTGACCTTGGGAAAGTCGCCAACCCTGAGATGGTAGCCATGGAAACAAGAGAAGCCCAAAAGCAAATCATGACTTGGGGTCATCTCTGTGCAAAGGCATTGCGGGGGGAGAGAGAGAAGAGAGAGAAGAATCAACAAATCCGTGCATGGGGGAGAAAGAGAAGAGAGGTGGGGGGAGAGGATGGGAGGGAGGGCTGGGGGGGGGGTTTGTTGTTGGCTGGCTCAGCCCGAGGGGCTCCTTGTGGCAAGCAGCACCGTTCACCATCCCCGTCATGGTCAAACGATGAGCGCAAACAGAGCTGGAACCGGGAGCTCTGTGGCTCTGGCCTTGGGAGGGGCAAACCCAAGTTTTCTAACAGGCACTGGACATCCCCTCGCCCAGCCCTTCCTCCTCGGCCCCTCGGAGCTGCCCCACGGAAGACCACGCCTCTGCAATGCCCGTGGGCCCCCCCCCTTTTTAAAAAAGAAACAGACAAGCAATAAGGCCACCCGAGAAGGGAAGGTGTGTCCGGAGAACTTGCCTCCTTCTGCTGGCTAAGCAGAGGCCACCTATCCGCAGGCATTCCCGACCCACTAGACCAAACCAAACCATCTCAGGGCAGCCTCCTAAGACTGGGGCTTGTTTAACTTCCAAAGCTTAACTGTACAGAAACAGAACTGAAGGCAGAAGCTCCTTTCCCCCAGATTCTTAACCAAGAATTTGGAGCAGGCAGGAAGAGCTAAACCGAGAATGCTGCGGAGAGAGAAAGAGAAGTGCTAAACAGTCATGATGCCCACGGGCTGCCTGGAGCTGCTTGGCGCTTCCCAGAATACAAACAGCCTGAACTTCACACGTGGAAGAACCATGGCTGGAATGACAGGGGGGGGGGTCAACCAGGGCAAGCACAGGGGGGGGGGGGGGGGGGGGGGGGGGGGGGGAAGGGGGGGCACACCACGTTTGGCTTCCTGCAAAGGAGCCGAGGGCCCTGGGGTCAGGGTGCAAAAGTTGCAAGGCAGCCATGCAACGAGGAGAGAAGAGGAAGCAAGGCAGCGAGAGAAGGATTACCTTGGACTTGCAAAGCTTTTCCCAGACCCTTGCTCATTCCTTTACAGCTGTCCTCTCCTGCCCTCATGTTTGGAAGCGGTTGCCGGGCGTCCCGGGAGCCCACTCAAGGTTGGGACCCCTCCTTGGAGGAAGGGGGCACCTGCTGGGGGCCAGGGCCCAGGGCGAGGGGACGGGCGGGCGGGGGGGTCTCTCCGGGAATCCTTTCCGAGTGCAGGGCGAGTGGAAGCCGTTCCTCCCTATCCTGGGGTAGGCACACACACGCAGCATGGCTCAGCAGACGCATCCCGCCAGTGCCATAGCTATGCAATGAGTCACCAGCTGTTTACAGAGTGGGGGAACAGCTCGCATTCCCAGAGAGCCAGCCACACTTCCTTCTCCTCCCCCTGGTCGGCCTGCCCACCCCGGCCACCTCTCCCCTCCCCAACCCCTAGAAGGCAAAAGGCAAGGCGCTGCTGCTGCTCCTCCACCGACTTGGCAGTTATGCCAGAAAAGGGAACTTCAAAAACACACGCTGAAAAATAAAATACACTGAAAAGGGGGAGGGGGAATGGAAGCAAAATTCGGGCCCCATCCCGTCCCCAAGCGTTTCTTTTTTTTTTTTTTTTAAGCCTCTTGATCTTTGACCGGGGAAATCTTCAAAGGCCTGGCTCTCCCCGCAGCAGCAGCGTAACAACCAATCAGTGGAAAAAGCTGTGTGCAAACACACTCGGGCGTCTGGGAGAAAGGTGCCTCCAATGCAGAGAGTGTGCGCCTACCCACCCACCCCCACTTGTTCACATTTCTAGGGTCTTCTAACAACGGTCCCCTATCTTGGGTCTCACCTGTTGCAATTTTACACACCCAGGTTTTAGGGTGGCTTTTTTGCTGTCCCACCTGCTAGCACAGCTAGCGTAGCTGGCGGAGGAATTCTGGGAGTTGAAGTTACCAAGTTTGGAGGCCCTCTGTGCTAGCAAAATCTACTCAAATTTTGCCCCGAAATAGAAATAGCAATGCAAGGGATGCAAGCCTTTTCCCGCTGGCCATGTGGGCAGCACAGCCTTGTGTTCCCGCACAGCTTGGATTAATTGCTTTGGGGGTGACATTTCTCTGTGGACCACCAACATTTTCTCACGGACCACCAGTGGTCCCCGGCCCACTCGTTGGCGACCACTGTTCTATAGCGTCCTTGTTTCTGAGCTTCTTTTCTTTTAAACTGCTTTGACTCGTTTCCGTCTGATTTTAAGCATGCCGCAGGTGTTTGGGGCTCATCTGTAAGCCGAGGACTGCCTGGAGATCCATAAACGGGAGCAGGGCAATTTGAGCAGCAGGTGACACACAGGGGGGGGGGGGTCTTCTAGAAAGCGGCAGCACCGGAAAACTCATCCTCCCTACGACAGAGGGAGAGTCAGGGGCCATCAGACCAAAAGGGACTTTTGCCAAGGTGCAATTTTCTCTCTCGGGATTTCTGGACAATGACCAGAGAGTCTTCCGTGGTCTGGTGGAAAGCTCTGCCGAGGCTGCAGCCAGCTTTGGATAACAAGGACCATGAAGCAGTGAAGTGAGGAAAGGAAAAAAAAGAAGCCTTGCCCTTTAAGGAAAAAGGCAAAGTTCTCTCCTTTTGTGGATTCAAATTTCCTGGCTGGGAGGTTTTAATGCAAAATGATTTGGTCAGCTGTGTTGAAAGTCAGAATCAGTTTATTAATAGGCAGGCAGATAAGAAGAAATCTCACAGCGTTCCTAGGATTAATCTAATAAGTGAGGAGGAAAACCTCTCTCTTAGAGACTTCTTTGATTTGTAAGTGAAGTCTTTGATTTGTGTGTGTTGAATTCCTGTCTCTTTGAGATTGGGATCTCTTCCTGGGATCTTGGTAGGAGTAATTTCAGGAATTTGGTAGGAGTAATATCAGTATTTGTAAACAGCAATGGATCATGCCCAGTATTTCCTAGCCGTACCACAGATAACAACAATGATCTAATACATATCGATTTCACAGAAGACAATGTTGAAAAAGCACTACGCAACCTAAAACCATCTCTATCTATTGGACCGGATGGAATATGTGCCTACTTCTTAAGAAAGCTATCCACTGCCATAGCCAAACCTCTAAGCATAATCTTTGAAATTGTTTTATAGTCCAATCTGTTTTTCCCTGTTGATCCTTTGTAGCTATCAGTTTGCACCTGGTTGTAATATCCTGAGTTTTCTGTTATGCTGTTTGCTTTTCACAAGTTTTTTGTAGCTTGCTATCTATTTGATTTCTATGGGGAAGGATACTACAATGACCCTGGTTGTGTTCCCGAGATGCCACAACCATCATTTAGGCAATTAACCTGACTCCCTGGATTCAAAAGTGACATACTAACCACGCAAGGTGGGTTGTCTGCACCAACAACGGAGGTGTTTCGAAGCTCACTCTGCCAAAGGGGAAACACGCCGCAGATTCTACAAAGGTCCAAAGGAAATCCTGCCAGCAAATGTGTCGTTAATAACGCAGGCTCCTATTGACTTCATCTCTTATAACCTCTTGTCAGGAGTGAGGGGCTACTTCCTCTCTCTAAATCCTCGGCTGAGGTTGCCGAATGATGAAAACCTAAAGCACGTTTTGTGTAGTTTGAGACTTTCCCGGCGTTCCCGCTTTAAGTGAGCTTTTCCGGATCTTTCAGACACCGACGCTGACTTGAACCAACTCTCACTCCCAGCTGGGGCCAATAGGAACTGTAGTCCTGAATGACTACGAAATGCATCGAGCTGGGAAAAGCTGAGAAAGTACTTGTGCCAAAATCCACTTCGCCCCGCAGCCAAGAAGCCTTCCCAAAACATCTTTTTCCCAAAGCTTCCATCTATGGTGAAGGGACGTGTTTTATTATTGTTATTTTTGTTCCAAGCAGAGCTCCGCTTTTCTCTGCTCAGGCTCTCTCCAAAGTACAAAACAGGGTTAATTATAATTTGCGCAAAGCCCTGCTGATACCGCCAGCTACCGCTGGGTAACATCCGGTCCGTCGTGTTTAGGAAGTGGCTGCAAGGAAGAAGATTTCTCGGGTGTTGGAGACGCGAAGGGGGAAAGAAAAAAGAACACACACACACACACACACGCAGCGAGCTGTGGCTTCCATCAGTGCCAAGGCAGAAAGGTAAATGAATTCAATATTACATCCCAGCAGGCTGGCTGGGGGAGTTGTTTGAATAGGACTGCAGAGGACCTTAAAAAATCTTTTTTCATGTAAAAAAAAGAAAAGAAAAGGAAGCTGTTCTAAACTTCCCATTCTGAGAGGTTGTGAAATGTTCGGTAGTTCTGCTTCTATCTTCTTCTGAGCCCCCATTTATGACCATAAGGCAGCAAAAACACAGTATTTCTCTCTGGTATCCACTGCTTGTCCTTGCCATAGAGAAGTTTGCTTGGTGGGCTAATTACGTATTCAAACAGTCTCCTCTGTACTACAAGGCCCCTTTCTTAGATCTCAAAGGAGAGACAGGGGAAGAGGGAGAAGGAAAAGACGAAGCACTTGAGAGCATTTCAGAACTGAAATGATTTCATCTTTGGAAGCTCTTGCAAACTGGGGGATTCCTCCCTCTCCTGGCGCCTTATCACTCAGCATTTATGGCATTATTATTATTATTATTATTAGCACACTGTGGTATAGGCACCCCCCTCCAATCTCCAAATTACTGCAGACAGACAGTCTCAATTCCTTATGGAGAGCAACTCCCTCCCAATTGCTGAGGGTCTTCAATGGGAAGCCAGATTAACTTAACAAAACCAGGATACTAACTTAACTGCAGTGATTCACTTAACTGTACAAAAAAAAGTCATAAAATGGGGCAAAACTCACTTAGCAGATGTATTATTTAGCAATATAATTGTGATTGCACATTAAGGACTTCCTATCCTTTACTTACATCCAATCTGGCAAAAGTAGGTTAATCCAGGGGTCTCCAACCGTGGTGACTACTCCCAGAATTCCCCAGCCAGCAAAGTTTGGAGACCCCTGGATTAAGCCTCTCAAAGAGAAGAAAAATCTTTGGCTTTATTGGCCAGGAAGTAACTTGGTTTGAGCATAAACACCAAAGAAGCAGGTGGGGTTCTCCTTGAACAAACTAGACACAGACAGGTCTCTTCTGGGGGGTCACTAAGATGTCCACCTCTAGTCCAGCCTAAGCAGTGAGCCAATGATGCAAGAAGATTGCAGAAGCATCATTGTACGAAGGTGAAATCAAGACCTGGCAAGGACTTGGCTAGCAGCATGGAGGGTTACATGGAAGGAGAGGATGAAGCATCGGTTCCTCATTTAGAATTCAGAGTTGAGCTGTTTTTGTGAAAGTACCTCCACTTACTAATATTGAGAGTAGACTACAGAGAGACAAATAGATTTGAAGGCCAGGAAAATCCGTTATTTTTGCAACCGGCCACTCCGCTGCAGCATCTAGTTCAAGCAACTGCCCCCCCCCCGGCCACACCCAACCCCATACCTGCTGCATGTCTTCTACGAATGCCCGGTGCCCTCTGATGCATGTTGGTAGGGAGCATGGAGGCAGAATGCACTGAATGGCTTCTTGAAGCAGTTGGGGGGAACAGACAGAAGCGTGCATGCGCGTTCTTGCCGAAAAGTAAAACTGCCAGACACTCAGAAGTGTCTCCTACGGTACCTCGAATGCTGATTCATTCAACGTGTGTAAAATTCCCTTCTGAGGACAACCCCTCAAACTTTCCGAGTCAATTCCCAATCACTCAAATCGTGCCAGCCAATTACGCACAACTAGAAAACAACCAATTTGAGGACTCCTAGAATAGATTTATCTACGTCTACCTAGCTTCTCCAAACTTGGGCCATTTTTTAAGGCTGGTGAACTTCAACTCCCGGAATTCCTCAGGCAGCCATGTTTGATTTGAAGGACACCAAGACGGCTTCCTGGGCTTGGGCCAAGGAGGTGGACTACAAAGACCCGTCTCTATGATTTCCATCCTGTAGGATGAATTATGGATCCAGGCACCCTACAAGTCTCTGGTCTCGTGATTGGACGATGGATCTGCGCACCCCAGGACTGTAGAGGGTGGTGCCACTTATGAATTCTGGGAGTTGAAGTCCACGAGTCTTCAAGTGCCCAAGTTTAGAGACCCCTGATCTAGAGGTAGACCTTTCTTAGCTCAGCATGCCACTGGTTGCACGGCCTTTGCAGGGTTGCAACCACCACAGCCTTATCCAAACAACCCCCCACCCCCCTACAGATTCCCAGAAGTCCCAGGAATGGTGGGAATCAGGGAGCTAGTACAAGAAGCCCTCAACTTACAAACCATCCATTTAATGACCGTTCAAAGTTACACCGGCTCCGAAAAAAGTGACTTATGCTATGACCTTTGCAGCATCCCCATGGTCATGTGACCAAATTCCAGAAGCTTGGCAACTGACTCGTATTTATGACTGTTGCAGTGTCCTGGGATCATGTGATCCTCTTTTGTGACCTTCTGAGAAGCAAAGTCAAAAGAGGAAGCCAGTTTCACTTAATAACTCGGTTACTAACTTATCAACTGCAGTGATTCTACTTAACTACTGTGGCGACGAAGGTCGTAAAGTGGAACAAAACTAACTTAACAACAGAAATTCTAGGCTCAATTATGGTAATAAGTCAAAGACTACCTATCCACATGGGATAAAAAATCCCATTACAACCCCAGCCTCATGGACTCCTTTGTGGGAAGGTGGTTATTCCCCCCCCCCCCCATTTTGAAAGTAGAAATAAGATTCGTGTAACAGTTTCTTGAGATGGTTTCATTGGGTGCTGACTTTTTTGCAGGACGGAGGTGAGATTTGAAGCCAGGGGCTTCCCAGGTTTTAATTGATTTTTTCCCCCGAGGAGGGGGAAATTCCAGTAGTAACAGATAAGGGCAAAAAAGCATAAATTAAGTTTGTGGCTCTTAAATGCAGGCCTAGGCTTGCTTTGGAAAATAAAGCCAGCAGTCTAGATTCATGGGCTACAAAAGGAGTAACAGTTAAGTGTTTTTTTATGGATGCATGTAGTATCCTGACACAAAGTAGTATATCATTGAAAACACAGACTGGTACAACACAAACTCAGATCTGGCTGCCCAATTCAGCCATACTGTTACTGGAGGGGAAATGTTTATCTCAGCCCAACCGGCTGCATTTCCCTGTGCCTTGATTATGGCTTGCTGGGCTAGTAAGCCGGAACGTTTTTATGACACGTCTTGGTGGCTTATTAAATCAACGTCCTGGCTTAGAGCAAGAGGGGAGTTTATAGTCTTCCTTTAAAATACCTGTTGACTAAAACAACAGGGTTGCAGCAGTACAGGTAGTCCTCGACTTACGACCACAATGGAGGCCAGAATTTATGTTGTTGCTAAGCGAAAAAAATTTGTCAAGTGCCCCATTTAACCACCTTCCTTGCCCACATTTGCTAAGTGAATCACTGCCGTCGGTAAGTTAGTTAACCCGGTTGTGAAGTGAACCTGGCTTCCCCATTGGCTCTGCTTGTCAGAAGGTTGCAAAACGGGATCACATGATCCCAGGACACTGGAATGGTCATAAATGTGAATGAGTTGTCAAGCATCCAAATGTAAACCACATGACCATGGGGATGCTACAACAGTTGCAAGTGTGAAAAATGGTCAAAAGTCACTTTTTTCAGTGCAGCTGTAAATTCGGTCACTAAATTAACGGTTATAAGTCAACGACTTCCTGTGGTTAGGTGCTTGTTCCAGGATGCATTTTCCTCCACATACAATGTCCCGAGACAAAGCAGGGTTGCATATATTTATATATAAATGCAAATATACCCTCAGAGGTCACTGATGCCAGGTAGATACCAGAGGGGGGGGGAAACTGCCTCCAATGCTCCGTGGGTTGCAGGGCTGGCCCTTGGGGAAGGAGCAGGGGGTCTCCTTCGGCACATGGGTCACCCCTTTGGAAAGCCATTAAAGAGAAGAGCAGTTTCCTCGCCCCTCCTTGTCAAAAGAAAACTTGCTTTCCAAGGGGGAGCTGACCCTCAGGAGCCCCATTCACACAACTCCCCTCCACCACTCTGCAGGAAAAGCTGTTTTCCCCACCCGTGACGCCCCCCCCAAAAAAGCCCCATTCACCCTATACCAGGTTACCCACGTCATCTTCACACCTGCAAACGAGCCCTATACTCACAACCCCGTGTGTGTGTGTGTGGGGGGGGGCTTTCGCGTGTCAGAAGCAGACGCGGAGGGGGGGCAGCTGCTTCTGACACGCGAAAGCCGTATTCCCACCACTCTTCCTCCAGCAGGTCGGACACACCAAGCCCCCGTTAAGCCCGGGGAAAGAGGGGGGAGGAAGCCGGCCGCCTCCCACTTCCAAAGCAAGTGGTTTAATTCGATCCCATTGAGAAATTAAAAAAAAACAAAAAAACGACGCGGAAATAAAAACTCGCAAGCCCGACTTAGCCTCCGCCACGTGCTGGACGAGAAAACCCCGCCCTCTCCGCCCCGCCCACCCCTCAGGCCCCGCCCTCGCGCGTCTGCGCAAGCGCGCCGCCCAGGCCGCTTCGCTTCCCCTCGGAGGAGTGTTCACTTTCCTTCTCTTCCCCCGCCCCTCTCCTCTTCCTCCCGCCGCTCCGGCTTCCCCTCCCCGTCCCCGCCGTCGCCTCACCTGGAGCGCTCGGCTCCTCAGCCGGCGACCAGCCGTTGCCCGGCGGGGTTTCTAAGGCGACAAAGCCCCCGCCAACGGGCGAGGCAGCGGGGGAGGGGAATGAGAGGGGGGCTGCGCGCGCCTCCTCCTCCTCCTCCTTTTCCCCCCCTCCCTTTCGGGCAGCAGCCTCGCCTCCCGCCTCCTCCCTTGGCGCGCGTGCGGCGAATGAGCGGAGGAGGAGGAGGAGGAGGAGGCACAACAGAAGGGGGGGGAAAAAGAGGGAGGGAGAGAAAAGAACCAATCGTGCGCGCGCACAAAGCTCCTCCTCCGCTTCTTTTTTTTTTTCCCGCCCAGCCTTTGATTTTGAACGCTTCCAGCCAATCGGAGCTCTCCGTCTGGTTTCCGGGATGGGATGCCTCTCTCTGAGCATCCTCAGGTCGGAGGTGGAGAGAGAGAGAGAGAGAGAGAGAGAGGACGCCACGCCCCCTTCATCACTAGAGTCGTTCACTTTTAGCCGCGCCCACGTCCTGGCCACGCCCCCAGCGCTTCAATTCTTGGGGAAAGCGAAAGCGCGGGAATGCGTGGTCGAAAGGCATGAATGAAGTGGGGAGGGTCTCCCTGGTTTGTTTGTTTTTTTAAAAAAGAGGGGCGGGGGATTCTTTCTCTCGCTGGATGCCTACGTTGCCTGGAGCCCTAGATCCCATCCTCCCCATCCTTAAGGCGGGTATAACTTCTTGCAGATTTTGATTGATGGCAAGTGTCTATTGCAGCTATTAGTTTTAAAATAATTATATATGTTTATATAGTGGTATGCATAAAAATCCGAGGATATGACAAGGTACAACCGTGCTAACAAAGTCAGAAAAAAATAGGTAGAATAATGAATGGATAAGTTACCTATCTTTCCTTTTATGTATACTGAGAGTATTTACACCAAGACAAATTCCTTGTGTGTCCAATCACACTTGGCCAATAAAATATTCTATCTTACGTTTTTTAGAAACTAAACATATACCCTTAAAATGTTCATAAAAACCAGCGTCGGGAACTTTTAAGAAGTGTGGACTCCCAACTCACAGAATTCCAGATTTCTGAAGTTGAAAAAAACAGATACAGACACTAGCTCAATCCTTTTAACATGTTGAATCTAGTCAAATAGACCCTCTGTTGCTCCATCTTCTCAGTTTTGGTGCAATATGTCATTTTGCTATTGCACTTATCAATTCAGTACCTTTTGTGTTCATCACAGATTTTAAAAAAAATAAAAAAGGACACCCCTTCACCTCTGTACCTTGAAAGAAAAGTGTCCTGAAGGGGAAGGACATATAAAGAAATGAAGCTTGTTCCAATTCAAACCATAACAAGCAATCCAGTATTTCTTGATGTATAGAAGTGGTGTGACTATTGCTTCAATGTATCATTGAAATCAAATTATTTCCTCCTTGTTGTATATATATTTTAAAGTATCATTTGGGGCTCTAACTTATGCATAAACTGTTACAGTGCTAAAGTATAGGGAAACTGATAAATACACCCCATACAAAGGGAAAACAACAACCGGTGGCCAAAGTTATTTTGAGCAGCAAACTTCCCTTATATTTCTGACCTTCTAAAATACAGACCCTGAAATTCCCAGAGGCCAGTTGCAAATGGCCTTTACATATATATTTTTTCACATGGGATCTCTGTTCCCTTCCTGCCTGAAAAATGAAGGGGATCCTCTGTCAGTCTTGAGGGAAAAAAATTCAAGATTAATTGGTCCATGCCGGGTAAGGCCAAGCACAGCAGGGAAGACAAGGGGTTGGAGTAGAATGCCCTTTAAAAACAACCACAACCACAACCTTACAGCTTAAGAGTGATTGCAATGCTCTGTTTGGAGGGCATGAATAATTCCTTTTAAGCGGGCGCTTATTCTAGAAGATTTACTGTTGTGTGTTGCAAATGCCGCTCGCTGGGTGGCTCTGTTTCCCTTCCGGCTGTTGGTCTGTCAAGAGGAGACACACACAGGTATGCTTTGCTTTGCTTTGCTTTGCTTTGCTTTTTTTTAGTTCTGAGCTGGTCTTCTTCTTGACCTCATCAAGGTAACTTAGTAAGCCCTGAAGGGTTGACTTGTCAGGTGTCAAAAAAAGAAAGAAAACCCTCTAAAAAGGTTTGTTTGTGGCTTG